GTAGGCGGGTGCTCCAACGCCTGAGGGTGGGGTGGGAAAACAGAGCTCTCCTCCAGGCTTCCTGGGCCAYGTTTCTAAAGAGCATCAGACACTGCTACTGTGTGTGGACCTGAGGTCCTACACTTTGTAAAGCAGCCCTGGAAAACAGCTACTACAGATTGAGTGTCTTATGCCACAAGAAGAACAAGATCTGGGCAGTTGGGTTATATTTGGTCTGTGATTGTGTGATTTAGATGTTGGTGAGATACCAAGACCAAAATGCTACTATTTTCGAGAAGAAACAGATGAGCACTCCCCCCCCACCAGCACAGGTGATTTGTGGGCCTAGTGCAATTCAGAATAGGAGATGGTGCCTACATGAAACCTCTGGGTGTTTTCTTTTCTATGAATTTGTCAATCACTTTTTGAACTCAAAGTTTTAGCCTCAGTCTCTTGTGGCAAGGAATTCTCCAGCTTGATAATGAGCAAGTCGGTATCGCTTTCTGGTTGCTCTGAGCCCTCTACATTTTCTAGTTTCATCTTTTRCTCCTTACCCCTTTTTACTGGATATGACATATAGAACCCAAGCAGATGCAACTACAAGCATGAGGAGAACCCAAATATGATTATGTCTGCTATAAAACTACATTTGTATTCCTTGTATATCCTCCAGGTTCATTCCAACCCATGGTTCACAGAAAGTCAACCCAAGGGTTAGCGCAAGCCTGCCAGAGAAGAGCTGCCTTCCCTGCTGCCTTCCCCTACACTCTGACCCATTTATATCACAACTCCGTGTCTGGAAAACCGGAAAGGAAAGTTGCAAGTGAACTTTGTCCAGCTGCCTCAGCATCTCAGAGCCCTGCTCGTGTTCAGTGTCCTGCCGTGAACCTCTTGGGAGGGAAACTCTGCAGTAACTTCACCCTCTCTCCATCGTCACAAGGCAGATTAACCAGCCCAGCCCAGTTCTGCTTTGTAAAAAGAGGAAATCAAGCGTGTCATTCCTGGAGCAGGAGCCTGATACAGCTCGAATTTTGGGCTCTGCTTGCAGAATGCTTCTCCAGGCTCTTGACCCAAAGAGCTTTGATCTGTGAAAGAAGAAGCAGAGGCACGAGGGGCGCTTGCAGCAGCCATTTGCCTGCTTGCAGCCCAGCTTGGCGCAGCTTTCACATCCTCTTCTCCTCCAGCCCCTGCAGAGAAGGAAACTGCAAAACAGAGGATCACGCAGGACACAGCCCCAACTGCACCACTTTCAATTCTCCCACCGCCACCCACCTTCCCAACTCATTTTTTKGCTTATTTCTAATGCCCCAAGCAAGCCCCTTTGCTTTTTCCCATCACTGCCTCGGAATATTTCAGCTATGGCCAATAAAGGAATAAACAAACAGAGAAGGGATGGCAGCCCTGCTGGTAGCAGGGCGCTCATGGCAACATCAGCATCGAGCTGCGYCAGGAGGCTGTGGCCACGAGGATGACGATGGAGCGATGCAGCCCGCGCACAACTGCAAGGCAGATTATCCTCAAGAGACCCTGCTTGCCTCGAGGGCCGTACTTAGCTTTTCTACTTCTAACCCCCAAATTAGGGATTGGGGTTTCCATGGATCACAGCRTCCCCTTCGCTTGGGGCCGCGCCAGCCCAGCACAGCCCGAGCTCCTTCCCACAGCTGCTCCGCACTTTCTGTGTCAGCAACTGCTGCAGAAAGCAGCAGAGTGATTCAGAGGGCTAATCCCGTTTTAACCTAAATTCAGGCAGCGCAGGGGAGAAGCAGTATAATCCTTCGGGGCAAAAAATAATAACAATAATAAAAAAACACACCGAGTATTCAGTAGAGCTTTTCTATATCCAGAGGAAAGCGCTGGTGYCCTACACTGCAATGCTCCGGAGACCTGGATTACAGAGGATCCTGCATTATCAGCAGTTGTAAATATTTATATTCTAGGGCCCCAAAGGCTTCTTGGCGAAAAGGGCTCTACCAAAGAGAGKCTTTTCCAAGTCTCTCTGCCTGAGGAGGGCAAGATGAAGGCCATGGGGATGGGATTTACCAYGAAGGCATCTTCGCTCGGGCCCGGATGAGCCCGAGTGTCTCAGCAGCAGCAAAAGCAGAGCTGCCTAACCCAAAATCCCTCCAAGGGAGGCAATGCCCAGACCTTGCACAACCAAAACCTTAATTACTGCCTCGGGCCTGGACCCCACTCCCTGCAGCTCTTTCCCAGCAAGTCCAGACTAAAACCTCGGGAAAGTGCYGGACATCAGGGCCCTCCCCGCAACAGCATTTGCCTCCCTGCACAGCAATTGCCTCTGCAATTTCCTCCCTCTTTGCCTTCATCAGGCAGTGGTTTTCTGCAGGAAAGGGGAATTTCCACACGTTTCCTAACACCAGTTCTCTGCAGGCTCTGCTGCCAGCTGCCCGCTCACCCTCCCTCATYCCCAGGGTTTCACATCATTAGTGGCAGGAGATACATCAGGCAGGTAAGTCAGGAAGGAGGACGCACAAATTTGCACAGATTTGGCACAGATTTTCCTTTAAAAAAAAAGGAAAATAAAAAGGACAACCTCCAAGTTTGCTCCTGGCATTTAGCAATGTGCTCCCCTGCCTGTTCACTGCATTGCAGTGCTGCAAAGCAGCCTTTTGCTCTAGGGCTCTGGGGCCCCGTTTGCCTTTGCGCCAAGCGATTCCCATGGATTTCTGCGTCTCTCCTGCTCCAGCTCCAGGGTTATTCCAGCTCTGTGGCTGATTATCTCAGTCTTCATCGAAATGCCAAGGTCTGCTTCAGGGAAAGAAGGTAAACAGGCTGCAGCAGGATGGTACTTTGCAAAAATGCACTGCATGGCCACGTCAGATCCATACCCAGGGGTGCTTTTTAGCTTTAACATCCCACGCACTGCTCCTCTGCAATAACCAGTCTGGTACCTTCAGGGCCAGAGAAGCTGTATAGGAATAGCCATGTGCAAGATCTGCCCTTATGGGCATAAAGCATCCCAGAAAAGGAAGTCTCCAGATGGTATATGATGCTTGGGAATATATTATTTTAAGAAAATTAACCTATTCCAGCATGGTTTCTATTCCAGAAAATTTTAGATTGAATATGCATTTTGCCATACAAGAGCACTTCCCAGGACCTCAGCCTTCCCTCCTTCAATGCAACTCGCTCATCCCATCATCCTTTTGCAAAATGCAATTATCATGCAGAGGAACGGAGCCATCAGTCTCGTTATTTTTTTGCCCAAGGGCTGGCTGGAGGCCCCTTCGTACCACTCATCGTATGTCAGGCCAGTTCAGGCCAGTTTCCTGCATGCAAATCCCCCCTGGTATTCACCAGTGCATGCAGGTTGTTGCATACATTTGCATTCAGGTCTCTGAAGGGTCTGACAGCAGTTTCCAGTGGTGACTGTCAATTTCTTGATGTCTTCCATGGAGACAACCTGATCAGCCACATGTTCCTCCCGTTGGACAGTTTTTAGGATTTCATCCCAAAGGCTGAAGGTTTTTTCAATGCAAGTTTTCAAATGCCTGGTTGTAAAGCCACCACAGCTGTCCTCTAAATACAGAATTTAAGCAACATCCAGAAAACTTGCATTTAACAACCTTTGGGTTGTTTGGGTTTGGTTTGGGTTTGCTTATTCTCAGAGACATTTGTTCCAACTATTGGATTTTCAGAATTAAGAGCACACGGCTAATGTAATCAAATGGCTAGTGGTTATTCAGTTGCCAGAAAGCAAGTACCTTGACAAATCACACTAAAAAACCCAGCTCCTAGTGCAAATTTTTGCCATTTGAGAATAAGCAGCCAGTGCTCTTGGCCTCCACAGAGCRCAGCGTTCAGGAACGCTGAGCACCGCACAATCTTTCTAGGTAGGTTAATTAGGCATCGGGCTGACAAACAAACCAAACCTTTTATCTGCTGCCCCAGCCCTCACATTTTACTGTGGCATTATTCAAAGCCAAAACAGTAACCAGGAGAACACAGAGTTTGCTACCTGCTCAAGGAGACCGAAAGGACATCGTGTCCTTTCGGCACTGTGCACATAATGAAAGTTTCATAAACACGTGCAAGCCACGTGCAAGATAAGTTTTCTTTGCCTCTCTCTTTTCCTATAGATTTGTCTCGGGCTTTTCACTTTGTTTTTCCATCTTGGACACACATACACACACAAACCCCCCTTGGAGCATGGTACAAGAGAGCTACATACTGCTTAATTACTGGGAGTTTGAAGGAAGAAAAGCACTACACAAAGCACACCTATTAAGCTGGAACAGGAGCTGCTACACAGTTTGCAGAAAAAAACTATTCAAAATTGGAGAATAGAAAACCTGAGGCAATGCTCAGTACACAAATGATTGGCGGGATTCTGAGGAGCCATCAAAAATGCAAGCCCAAGGGTCACACAAATGTGTGTGAACCCTTGAGATTCTTCAGAGAACTCTTGAGCCCCCCAAATTCACACCGTGCTGAGAAACTGCTGCAGAGGGGACAACCCTGGAGGGCTTTAGGTACAGCCAAGCACAGCCTGTCCCTGCTCCTTCRCAGGAGACATGAGTCTTTCCCTGCCACCAGCTGCAGCCTTGGAGAGACCAACTTACTATTGCACCACCCCAGCATTGAGGGCTCTGCGATGGCTTTCCATAAAAAAATCCAGGGGGATTCAGGGGTAGTCTCTAAGAGGAAGTTTAAAAAGCAGATGCTTTTTCCTCACACCTCCCCAACACAAGGGTTGAGTTCATTACGATACCAACCTCCTCCATGGTGAGCTTTGAGGCTGCAAACGAACCACCAAGTGCTCTTTAGAAATGCTTGGCCAGCAGGTGAGTTAAACACAACTGCCTGGGAAGCTCTGAGAAGCTCTGGGGTGAAATGGGGCCCAGCTACTTCATTATGAGTTAACCTACAGCCTGACTACCAGGTCAACCTAGTACCACCCATCCAAGCGCCAGTCCCAGCGGGACAGGCCACCAAAAAGCAACACCCAGCTTTATAAAATGAGTATTTGTGTCCCCTCAGTGTCACACCAAGCCCCACGTTACCGTGGCGGTGTCTTCCATGAGGCCCCTGATCTTCTCCACGACGTCGTTGCGCCGGTGCTGGCGCAGGGCGCTGATGAGCTGCGCGAGGCTGGCCTCGGGCCCGCGGATGGTCCAGTGCTGCAAGGCCGCGTAGGCCCGTTCGTGGTCGGCCGTGTAGCCGTTGGAGAAGGCGGCCACCTCCCGCTCGCTGGCGTTGCACAGGAATTGGTAGATATCCTTCCACTGGCTCCCCACCTGGGCCGCCACGAGCTTCAGGATGTCAATGCCTGCGGGACAGAAGAGCTATGGATGAGGCACAGCAGTCTCCAGGCTCGCAGCCTCCTCTCATTTCCTACCTTTTCCGTCCTCTACATGGATGGCCACAYGATTATCAGGTTTTTTAATGAAATTTATGATATTTTTTACATGCTCTAGGTGTCCCTGCTTGAACAGGGGAGTTAGACTAGATGATCTCTAGAGGTCCCTTCCAAGCTTAAGCATTCTGTGATTTATTAGCAAGWGCGAGCTGCTTACCACTCTGGGCTGCAAGGAGCTCAGAGGACAAGCAGCTTCCTCAACATGCCCAAACTCTTTTAACATCGACAGTTTAAGTTAAGCTTCTTTAATCCATCCACACATGTCAGTACAGGCATAGGCAGATGAACTGACTAGTGGCTGATGCCTACAAGCTCTTAAAGTATCCCATGTCTGACATGGAGAAATCTACCCACATAGTCTACCACCCCACATTCACTTAAACCTCAGGAGAGAAGGTGTGAGCATAAGCTGGGACTAAATGTGCACCAAACACTCACCCCCTGCTTTGCAATAGCTCGTTTTTTCAGTAACGTAGAAAATAACATTTAACCCCAAAACAGACAGAATCTTGAGGCTGTAGGAATACACCTCCATGGAGGCTTCAGTGAGAGATGGCAACGTGCTTGCCCTTAGACCTGTATCAATGTTTAGGCTTTGAAGAAAAGCTGGATTAAGGGATGAGTCACTGAACTATCTCTACGTAGATGATTAATATTTCCATAACAGAGAGCATCTGTAATGGTTATAAGCATATTTAAAACCGCTTCTGATGCGGACACGGTAGAATGACTCAGGTGTATGATAGAAGACTCATATCCCCTATATCAAGAAGCAGTTTATATTAACAGGAGATTTGTTATGGAATTTGAAGAGTACAAAGTCTGTATTTCCCCCAGATCTCTGCTCCCAAGCCCTTGAATCACACGGGTTCACAACTATGAAGATTTTCTCCCTGAAGCTTTGGGAGCAATGAATAGCACATTTGCCCTTGTGCCTGGTAGAGGTCAGGAGTTAAGTCTTCAAAAGAAGCCACAGCCTCTCTTCACAAGCACCAATTAAGCCTCTTTTACCAAGCTGAAGAAGGTCTCTTTCAAACAACCTTCTGAAGGGTCAGCAAAAGCCACCCACACAACATGTTCAGTTTTTCAGAGATGTTGCCACATCCCAGGTTTCCTCATGAGCCAGCACTCTCCCATTACTACACAGGCTATTTTTTCTTCCATCTACAAACCCAACATCTATATCAGCAAAAATTGCTGCTTACAGAGAAAGACTTCATAGCTCTGAACTTCCCCACAGCTGCAAAATTTAGCAACTTTAATGCAATTTAGTCCAGCCTCCCAAGTGCACCCTCAAGTCTCGGCTCTAAGAGCACCAAACCATATTTCTCACAAAACAAAACAAACAAAACCCCMCAGACTTATCAAAACTGCCATATAAAGGCAATTGTACTGGTTCAGTGTTTTCCAACAGTCATAACCCTACTATGCCCGGAACACCTTGGAACACCTTATCAAGCTGATACTCAACCTGCTTGATAAACAGAAACACCAACTCACTTTAATACATGTCAGTGTGCATATTCCTACTCTCCTCCAACCGTAACAAAAATAAATATATAAATAAAAATAAATATATATAAAAAAATATATGTATATATATGTATATATATGTGTGTGTGTGTATGTTTGGCAGCAGGTTCGGTGCAATCTGCGCTCAACTTCTCCCTTGCAGAATTTGGCTGTGCTCATCACTGGCAGCACCTGAAATGCCTTGGCCATAAGCAAAGCCAAAAACATGCTGTATTTCACCAGAAATCAGGCGTGTTTGAGGGTGTTTCTGGCAGGCTGTGCCTGGGGACATGCACAAATCTCTGCCCACCAGCTCGTGCAACCCGTAAGAGCAGCAAACGAGTCCCGTGTCAGCGGCGTTTCTGGCACGTGGGGACCCAAGGCTCTCATGGATGCTGGAGGGTGTTGCTAGCACGTTTCTCTAATYCTCCGTGCAGCCGAGGCGGAGCAGTTGGACTAACGGGACGTGCAGAGATGCTGGTGCTGTCCGGGCACGCTGTGTCGGCAGCCACGCATGCAAATCCGCATGGCACAGCTAAACCAGCAAGTTACAGGTGTTTGCCAAGAGCCCCCTCCGGTGCAGCGAGAAAACATGGAGATTTAGAGCCATATTTAGAGCATGACACACAGGCAGGGGATTTACAGGAAGGAGCTGCCTCCCTGAGCTGCTGCTTAAGCGGCTTCAATCTCGAGCTGATAGTTGGCAAGATGAGGGGTTCCTTCCCTGGCTCCCTTTGCAGCAGCCAGAGCCGCAGGGTTTGGATTTGGATACAGGAAGGTTCAGGAAATAATAATAATAATAATAATAAAAAAAAAACTCAGAACAAGCTCAAGACAAAGAAAACACTCCCTCACATTAAAGAATAAAGAAAGGCTGTGAAACACGCTATTGTGCTTTATGATGGGTCTAATTATCAGAGGCACATAAAAATGTTATTGCTCATAAAGCTTCAACATGCAGACACAGGCAGCAAAGTCTCCTCTTGTTAATACTCCAGGCGCTCGCACACGGATCCGGCTGTGCGTAGCTCGAGTCAACACGGATAACCCACACGCCTGCAAACACCGCCCAGGCCCTCCCGATGCCTTGGGATCCGGACACGCCGTCAATCCAGCATGGAAATGACCTACGCTCCAAACTATGTTGGCAACTKGGCCATGGCGAGCAACCAGCCCCAAGTGCCTTTGGGCATCACCGACCTATGCTTAGAAAGCAGCATGTAAGCAAAAATGGATTTAAAATAATAAAACAGGACTAAAATAATTTAATATTAAATAATTTAAATAATTTAAAATAATAAAATAATAGAAAAGGAAAAAGATGACTCTGATTTTTAATCAAATTCCACAGTATAAATGCAACAGAACCCTAATTTCAAGCTATAGAACTCTGCATCTTTTTGAAAACTATTAGAAAGAGGATTTTTTTTACAACCCYCCAAGGATAAGGTGCTGCAAGAGGTCCAGGCTCCCGGAGCTAAAGAACAAACAAGATGTGGATACCTAGCCAGCAGAATGGCTCAAAGCTGATGTGCTTTGAATTTCAYCCTTCAATGCGGAACAGAACAAACCCAAATATGAAGGTGGGAAAAAGCTCTGCCTCACTTGTGCACTGAGGTCAAGAGAGCTACACACGCCAGGAAGGACAAGCCAGTTTGGTCCAACTCATTTATCTACCAAGGTCCCTCATGCCAGGAGAAGGTTCCTCCTCTGATCCTGTGTCAGGGCAAGGTRAAGCTCTAGAGCAGGGGGGAGCTCTGCTCCTACCTGCTCCTGCGCAAACTGTCAGTCATCCAGAAGCATTAAAACGTAATTGCTATTTTATGAMCCTGCGCAGGTCACTTAGGCCAACCCAGAAAGGAAAAACTCATATAGTATTTGCTCCTATCTGTGTGTTTAATGGTTATAAAGCCCAGTGTTTATAGCTTCTGTGGAAGGGGGCAAGTTTTCAGTTGGTCAGAACTTGATTTACACCAGTTTATACAGACTAACGTGGTACTTAGTCCTACGCTCTCAAGCAAAATTTACAACACAAAGCACTATAAGTCCTACTGACGCTTACAATTTTAGTATATTTAATCACACAACTCAATAAAGTGGCCCCATAAACATGTTTATATCCTTTGGCAATAATATCCCCTGGCCCCACAATGCAGCACACAGCACAGAACCTAATGATGTATGATCATTGTCAGAGAACAAATGTTCCATTAAAATACAGTTGGAAATCTTTACCTTAATAGTCCAAGAACCTTAAATTCATTTTCCYGCATCTATTAAATAAATTTAAGCCCCATATGTTCATGACATCCACTAGACTATTGTACAAACAAAACTCTGAAGAGATATGGAAGAGACAGACTTGAGCACAGATTTGGCTCGAGTCAATTGAAAACCCATTACTCCCTCTCTTCTGAAAAATAAGGTTAAACCCATTTCATGACAACTTACTGCTGCACGCTGCCAAGCATTACTGCTCAAGCCATTTACAGTAACTTAATTCACTTGTTCAAGACTAGAATAAAATGGTAATGCTTATAATAGGCTTACAGTCATGCTATTTCCACATTTCCAGAACCCTTCCAAAATTATTCTGTGGAGTACAATGTGTCACAGCTTCCAATTGTGATGAGAAGGTGTCCATAAGGGTTTATCTCATGCTTTTCATTTCATCTGCTTAGAAACCGTGCTTGTCTGTTCTGATTGCAGTGCATCCCACTAAGGGTAAGGAAAGCAAGAAGCTACAGCTGCACCTAAGTCCTGGGTCTTCTTACCCACCAGTTTTCTCAACTACTTGGACATTTTCCCACTATGCTCATCTGAACACTGAGGCCAGAAGTCACTCATGGAGCCTTCAGAATCCCCAAAACACACTTAAAACCACTGAACTCCCAGGGGATGGCACTTGAACCCGGTTGTTCCACATTTCCCACGACACAAAGCTGAGGAGGTTCTGAGCTTGTCAGTAAGGAGGAGATGTCCAAGAAGACCTTGCACCCAAGCTGAGCCCCGCACAGGCAAGGAAGGCTACAGATTCCCCCGTTGCATCTCCTCAGACCATCTTATCTCCCCTCACCACTGCTATAACGAGGGCCCGTAAGAGCAGCACCAGAAGAGCTCCTTGCTGTTTAATGCATTGAGGGACACCATCTTCACCATATTCATCATTGTGAACCCTACTTATTGCCTCACTATGGAGGACATTGGAATTAAGCAGGAACAGGACTCGCTCTAAGGTCATAGCTGGTATCAAACTTCACCTGCAACTCACCTAGCAGAACAGCAGGGTCAACTTTGGAAGGATCTAGGTCATCCAGGCCACTCTTGGTTGACCTACTGCTCACACAGATGCCTACCTAAGCACTGGGATGAACTATACCAGAGAGTCATCTAGTATT